GAGAGAGAGAGAGAGAGAGAGAGAGAGAGAGAGAGAGAGAGGAACCTGGACGTGAGTGCGGAGAGGTGCAGAAAATCGCCTAATCAGGAATGCACAACGCATATTCCCGGCAGTAGATTGGCGGGAGATCACGTAATCAGGAATGTACTACAGCGCATATTCCCCGCCGTAGATTGGCGCCAGATCAGCAGTACACGGCTCAATCTTACGGTCGGGAAAAAATATGCGGCGCACATTCGCCGCCAGAGCTGGCGCGATCGGTGGTGAACAACTTATGGCGCCAGATCAGCAATGTACGGCTGATGTGTCTGGCCATAGATTGCGCCAGATCTGCTTGCTCAATGTGTGCGGCGCATGCTTCCGTCCGTAGATTGGCGCCAGATCTTCGGCTCTCTCTCTCTCTTGAATGGCATTAACGGTGAGGTCGGTAGCCTTGTAGTTTCTACAATGGCAACGAAAAGAGAGACACATACTCCTCCTCCTTTTTCCTAGATTGCCATCTTTAGTTCTCCTCTCTCTCTCTCTCTCTCTCTCTCTCTCTCTCTCTCTCTCTCTCTCCCCCTTTTTCTCTGTTCTGGACTTGTGATCCGCCAATCGCTCTTTTTCCTGCGCAGCCTACTCTTCCTTCTATCCTAGACTCTGCAACCGTTCATTCTCTCTCGCACTCTCTCTCTCTCTTTCTTTCTCTCTCTCTCTCTCTTTGTGTATTGTGCTCCCCCAAATCCTTCTCTTTTTCTGGGCAGCCTTCTCTTCCTCCTTTCCCATACTCGGCAATCGTTCACTCTCTCTCTCTCTCTCTCTCTCTCTCTCTCTCTCTCTCTCTCTCTCTGTGTATTCTGCGACGCCAAATCCCTCTCTTTTCCTGGGCGGCAGGTCGCCAGCTGATGCCTCTCGCCTTATCTCCCATCCACCTCCCCCGGTACATCCCTTTCATTCTCTCTTTCCTACGCTTCTGTCTGTCTGTCTGTCTGTCTGTCTGTCTGTCTGTCTGTCTGTCTGTCTGTCTGTCTGTCTCTCTCTCTCTCTCTCTTTCCTTCAGGGTTTCCTTCTCTCTCTCTCTCATTTGCTAGCCATTTGGTTCTCTCCTCTTGCACCTCTCTCTCCCTCTCTCTCTCTCTCTCTCTCTCTCTTCTCCTCTTTTTCTCTTTCTCCCCACCACATATCTTCCGCTCTCTCCTCTTGCACCACTTACCTATCTTTCCGTGCTTCTCCCTCTCGTCTCTCTCTCCATCTTCCCCTCTTTTTCCTGACCTTCCTCTCTCTCTCTCCCTCCGTCTATCTCTTGTCCTGTTGCTCAGCCTACTTAATTTCAACTTGGCGCGCTGCATTCCCTCTTCTTTTTTCATTTGTGTTCTCCATCCCCTTCCCTCATCTCCTTTTTCCCGCCAATTTGTCTCCCCCGTCGCCTTTTTCCCGCCAATTTGTCTCCCCTGTCTCCTTTTTCCCGCCAATCTCTCTCCCCCGTCTCCATTCTTCTCCCCTACTCTCCTTCTTCCTCATCTCCTCATCCATCTCCTCCATAGCCGTCCCTCTTCAAGTTATCGCCCCTCCTCTCTCCTACCGTCTCCACTCAAATAGAGCGCCCGGTCATTATATCTGCACCTGGACTGAAAGGTTGGCCGAAATACATCTATGTAAAAAAAATGACCGGGCGTTCTATACGGGTGACGACGGTAGTCTCTCCTCTGGTCATTTTTCTTTTCCTCGATCGTCATTCTTTTTTCGTTTTTTTTTTGTTTTTTTTTTTTTTGTTTTGTTTGGAACCGATCGTCGTTCTGCCCGACGTCGTTACCGTCTTTTTCTTTCTTGACTCTCCTCCTCCTCCCTTTCCTCCTCCCTTTCCTCCTCTTCTTCTTCTTCTTCTTCTCGCTGTCTCCCTCCTCTCCCCATCTCTCCCTCTCCCTCTCCTCTAGTACCGCTCCTCTCGCCGTCCTAAGCTTGACTGGTAGTACCCCCTTCTCCTTCTCTCCATTGATTTCTATTCTCTGTCTTTATCCATTTTATGCCTTTGTGGTTTAAACTTGGCGTTAGCGTCGTGCTCTCGCCGTAGATTCCAGATGTAGTCAACTCATCTAGTCAACGGTACTAGTCAGCGGATTTGGTCAACGGGTTTATACTGAACGGATTTGGTCAACGGATTTGGTCAACGGATTTGGTCAACGGATTTGGTCAACGGATTTAGTCCTCCCTGAATGAACGGAATGAACGAGTGAAATCGACGTCCTCCCTCCTCATGCTTCCTCCCACCTCAGTGCCCTCTCTATCACTCTCTTCTCGCTCGAGTGAATGGATTGCAAACAGGCCTACAGAGCGGAGCCAAGAACAAATGCAGCAGCAGCAGCAGCAGCAGCAGCAGCAGAAGAAGAAGAAGAAGAAGGCGAAGAAGAAGAGAAGACAAGGAAGAAAGATGAGGAAGGAAGAAGAGGAGGAATGAAGAAGAGGAGGAATGAAGAAGAGGAGAAGAAGAATTGAATTGAATTGAAAAAGCAGGGAAGGAGGAGGAAGGAAGACGAAGAGGAAGAAGGAAGAAGAAGAAGGAGAAGAAAAGGAAGGAGGGGGAAGAAGAGGAGGAAGGAAGACCAAGAGGAAGAAGGAAGAAGAATAATAATAAGAAGAAGACGCTGACGAGGACAAAGAAGAAGGAGGAGGAGAAGAAGAAGAAGCGAAATGTCGGCTCGTACAAGTAAGAAACCGAATAAAGAAAAAGGGACAAGGGTAAAATGGTGAAAGAAAGGATAAAAGGGAACAGAAGAGAGGGTGGGGGGAGGGGGGTGAAAGGGGAGTGCACGAGTGCTGATCCGGGGAAGACGTCCTCGATATCCTTCGCTGTGC